CCATGATGGAAACCACTATAAACCAGCAGATTGCTCCGGGTCCTTCGTTAGTGGGCCCTACCTTACTGACAGCTTGGTGTGACCTACAGTGGTGGCCACTAGACGAGAACAAGGAGGCACCTCTGTTAGCTGCTGTTCTCTTCTAGTGGCCACCACTGTAGGTCACACCAAGCTGTCAGTAAGGTAGGGTCCACTAACGAAGGACCCGGAGCAATCTGCTGGTTTATAGAGTAAACCATACTCTAAAGCTGTGCTGTCCAATACAGTAGCTGGTGGCCAGATGTAGCCATTTAAATTATAATTTTAATTAATTAAAGTTTAATTTAATTTAAAAATTCATTTCCTCTGTTTCACTAGCCACATTTTAGTTACTCAATAGCCACATATAGCTAGTGGCTACTGTATTGGTCAGCATAGATCATAAAATATTTCCATCATCTCAGAAAGTTCTTTTGGACAGCACTGCTCTGAAGTAAAGAAGCTCTCTTAGAGTGTTCCTTTATATCATCCCAAGAAGATAATGAACATTTGCTGAGTCCCAAGAGTGCAACTTATCACATGTCGGCCTGACTCCATTCAATCAGATCAAAGCCAAGGGGGGAAGAAAACTACACAATGTCAATTCCCCCAGCAGGATCGTCAGTGAAGTCTCAGGCTAAATATTACGCAAGAAAGCCTGACAGAATTCGGAGGTCTATAAAAGAAGGATGATGCATCTCCCAAGACTCATTTTGAGGAGGAAGATGAAGTTCAAAATAACTGAACTGAGACTGAAAGGGAAAAATGGGAGTCCACTTATTTTTAAAATGGTGCTTGGAACATTGGATTGTCTAACTTATTTGAGTAGGTGATACTAATGGTGTCCTTGAAGGTCGCTCAGCACTGTATTTGTGCCTGACAACTGCCCAGTAAGCAACCAAGCACTTAATTCCTAAATTTGCATGAGTTCAAAGACAGATTTTGTCATAATCGAATACCTAAGTTTTGATTGCACAAGAAAGATAACATTCTCATGTGAGAATAGGAACTAGAAACACTATTATAATACAATATGATTATGTATTAGGGGAAAATAAAAGAAGAATGTAAAGGCAAAGTCCAAGATTGCTCTGCAATTTGGTGCCAAGGTTCACATATACTGCCTTTAGTAAAATGGCAACAGAGGCATTCCAGAGGATCAGGAAGGAGATATAATGAATGCTACAAACCATAGAATTTTCATGGTGCTCATATAACAAGGACTGAAATCTGCACAGTGTAGCATTTCAACTGTGAGAAAACAGGTGTTGAGACCTACTCAGCAGACTGAAAAACAGACCTCGGTCTACTGCTTGAGGCATAGACATTTTACTCCAAGGGTCCGGATCTGGAGTCCATCTTTCTCTTAAACCACCATACTGCATAACTCTTAGTAACTCAGAAGCAAAATTGTGCCCATGGAACAAACAGAGAAGAGCACAAGAATCTGAAAGTTCACATCCCAAGGCACTCAGCTAACAAGCTTGCCTTGCTGTTCACACAGGAAGATTACTGAGAAAGAGGGGAACTGAATGGAGGAAGAACTGGACTAGCTCTTATTTTCTTAAGTAACAAAAACTAGTTATATTGTGTAAAAAAATAGAATGTAGGGTGTTGTTTTTTCAAGAGGGAAGAATGAAAAATTAAAATCTTAAGTCATGAGGGAAGTTGATGTTTTCCTCTGGAATACTGGACTTGTAGGTTGGGAAACTATTATAGTTGAAAGATCAGGCTTTTAGAAGTCAGGAAATTCCAAAGCAAGCCTACAGCAGTGATTTCTTGGACATATTACACATGGTACATATTTTACGGTCCATGTTTAACAAATAGCTGGGAGACAAAAAGAAAAGTTCCACATAGTCAACATGGCAGAATAAATTCTACAGGAGAAAGAAGAATTTTGAGATGTTCTGAAAACTACTCTGAGACTTAGGATATTTCATTAATCTAATTTTAGCATTTTTTTTTATTTTTAGAACAAAAATCATCCCAGTTGAAAAAAACTACATGTGTAAAATACTATGTACATCACCATCCTATAAATCTGAGAGGCGGTCCCCTGCTTTTGGCAAGTCTCTAAAAATCTCAAGAAACAAATGCTTATTTTCCTCAACTTCAGACCTTAGTTTTCTATCCTTGGAACTTAAAAATACTTACATAATTGTCTTCAAAAATGGCTTGACTTTTCTTCCTTGATGGAAACAGCATTCCTGCCAACTTTAAAATTTATAGCTACAACCATATTTTTTTACTTTTAAAAGCATAAAAAATACCATAACCCCTCACAGTGATTTTGAAATGAACATTTCTTCATCTTCATAATTATCCCATGTCACAGTGAAATGTATTCCAACTCAGCATACAAATGGAAAGAACATTTACCTCTGCGTCTCCGCGTAAAATATTACGTTTGGAGATAATATCAGCAACTAAAAAATATCCCAGTGGCAGTCATACTCCAGTCATTATGAATTTCATAACAAATAGTGCAGCCAGTAATCAAACTCTTGTATGTGTGTGTCTGTGTGTGTGTATGAGTGTGTATGAATGGCACTTTCTCACTTTTACAACTACACTCAGTTTTCAAAAGCATTTTCACATGACTTCATTAATTTGATCTTCTGACAATCCTGAAAGGTATACAAGACAGGGATTATTTATTAGTCCATGTGACAGGGCAGTAAATTGAGATACAGACAGGCCAAGTGACTCGCCAAAAGCCAAAGCTCATCAGCGGCAAACTCTGGAGAAATAATGCAGACTCTGACTCTCAGACCAGTCCTTTAGAAGAAAGTGTAGGTGTGCGGCTTAAATTAGATTAGAAACAAGCAAAGTTGCTGAGTTTCTAAAGCAGTTTGAGCAATGCTTCTTTTCTCTCCCCCAACAGCATAAAGGTTCATAGTCTATGTCGCTGCTGGAAAAATGGGGGCAGTCACCTGGATTACAGACAGTCTGCACCAAAAAGCCAGCTTTCAGAGCATTCACATCTGCAAAATTACATGCCTTTGAAAACCTAGTCAAAATAACACTGTAGTCCAACAGCTTCTGAGGTAGAAAATACTGAAATTTACTGGGGATAACAAACTCTGGACTATTTATCTTTAAAAATAAATAAAAAAGTAATCTAGGGGGAAAATGCTTCAAGAAGAGTATGGGGGTAAAATTTAAATTATACCACTGATTACAAAACATGTTCAAAACTTGAATCTTTCCAAAATGATTATGATTTTTTCTGTTTCCTCCTTGAATCGGGATACCACAACAAGGCCGCATTGCCATGCCTTTTTCACTTTTAAGTTATGATGTCAAGTTTTCATCTATGTCTGCCACATTTTTATAAGAACCTAACGGGCATTTGTAACCAATAAAAATCAACATGAGAGGCACCATTCCTGTTATTTCAAATGATTCAAGGATTTTTCTTTTAAATTCCTCAAAGAAGCAGTTGGAGTAAATGGAGAATGTGTCAGTTTAAATTTTTACGTGTTTCTCTATACTTTTCAATTATTAGGCAAACTCCTAATTATTTTTGTCTTTTAATTTTTTCCCCCATAGCAACTAGAGTAGAGCTTGCCACAGGCCGCATGGAGTTCACCGACTGTGCTAGAAGCAGGCAGAAATTCTCAGGTCCCCCCTTCCAGGCCTAGGGACAAGGAGGAATACCAGAGTCTAGGTTTCTTCCCACTGGTGATTTTGCAGAGGAAATGAGCAGCGCAGATGGTGAGAGCCGTGGAGCTAGCAGAGAGGGACGCAGGTCTGTGCGAAACGTGTGTGGAGCAAATACCTGTCTAGACGTTGGAGTGGGCAGCGTGGCTAAAAAGACAACTGACCAAAGGAACAACTTCACCACTGTGTTTTAAGGGTCACAGAGAAAACAGCTAAGAAAAACTAATCTACTACAAACAGTAATGGCCACTGGATGCAAAACATATGTACACTAGTGCTTAGGCCATCACAGCTGTGGGTAAGTTTAGAATGAGAGAATTTTCTGTTGGTTAACTGAGACTTTCCTCCCTAAAACATGGCTATAAATTCCTCAGGCCGCTGTTTAGTTTAGGTCACATGATCTACATATCTGTTTCTTCTAAGTCAGAGTAAAATTAAATAAATTAGTTCTACATTTTGTGGTGTTTTATTTTTCATTTGTCCCTGTTCTTGAATACATGGTTCCAGTAACAGTACATAGGGCCTTTTACTTTATATTTCATATAGACTACATTTTATATACTTGAAGTCAGAACCACTAATATGCCACAAATTTATTTTAGTGTTAGAATTAAAATTCCTTAAAAGCAAACAAAAACTGGTTCTACTGAAGTTCAGGAAAAACGGTGAATTCAGGGTCTTGAAAACGTCACACGATGAATAACCAACCCTGAATAACTAAGCATAATGTCTACGTGACAATATCTGTGAACACAGCAATAGCATATCAGAATATAAAAGAATATATGTATGATAGAATAGCAATATATAAACAAGCTTATATAAAGTATATACACTTTATAGAAAAGAGAACACTCATCCAAAAAGATTACGTCTAAGTTCACAAAGGACAGTTTTAAAAAAAATAGACCTGTGTGTTCTGATTTGGGGATGTTGAAATAGTTTGTATCCCGTGACCCGTGAACTTGATATTTCAAATTTATGTGAGAAATTGTTCCCCAACATACTTTAGATGTGCATCTGTTACTGCTTATCTATGGGAGTTCAAGTACAAACTGTAGATCATCATCCAAAAACAATGAATATCTATGACACATATGACTTCACATGCTGCACAATGAAGGAGCCAACTACTTTATCAAGAGGACAGGACCCTGTGGCCATGAGAGTCAGACCTCCTAAGTAGGTCAACTCAGAGTTAATGTTGACACAGAATGCGCTCCCAAAAGGTGGTAGGGTTGGAGTAGAAATTCACAATGTGTATTCTAGACAAACCCGCAGGAGGAACCCATGTGACCATCAAGTGTTTCACGTACTTTGCGAAGCCGATGAAATCTTCGTGGTTGGTGTTGATGTAGGAGACTTGGATGTCAATCAATAGCAGTACCTATAAGTCAAAGAGAAACGCTTCCATGAAAACCCATCTTAAATATTCTCAAACGCTAAACTTAGTAATTGCCTACGAATTATTTATCTTCATTTAATTTTAAAAAGGATACTTTAGTTGCAATAAAAAGTTGCACTAATTATTTTCATTAGACTCCTGTAATTTTTACTCTAAATTCAGAAATTAAAAAGCTACGTGAAAAGTCTGAGTCCCACATGGAGACAACAGGACAATTATAAGACAATTATAATTGAAGACAATTATAATTTATAATTTATAGGCATGTACTCTTTACCAACTTAACGTAGAACCTAGAATTATTCTACTCCTCTAAAACGTATGCATGATGTTCAAAAGAGGGACATGCTTGTATCAGAAGCCATGTGGCCAGAAGGCCAGTGAGGGGCTGCTCAGAGCTTCCTGTTCCTGTAGACAGCATACATTAGCCACAAAATAGCAACATCTCTTGTTTTTCCTCTCCTCTTCTATCTCTGTAAACTCCCTCTAGGCAAGCAAGAGAAGCATCTCATCCACCAACTCAAAAGGCAATATTCAAATAAATAGAAAGCCTCCTTGAGATGAATAGGGCTTTATCAGCAAAGCGAAACTTCAGTCAGGTCTCTTAAAAGATCACCTCATCGGAGGGATCCTCCCCGCCCATTGTACCTGAATTAGCACTCTTGTTACTCTCTATCCTTTACTTTGCCTTATTTTCCTTGTAGCACTACCACTAGCTGACATAGTAAGTTTTACATACTCAGGATACAGACCTCATCTGCTGTGTCCACCGCCATATCCCCAGTGCCTAGAACAGTGCCTAGAACATCATGTGCATTCAATCCAGATCTGTCCAGGAACGAACTGAATGCATGTGCCAGTAAACATGAAAATGTTCTAATCATAAGATACTTATAAACTCTAAGTCCAAGATTTGGAAGGTCCCTCTGTAGAAAATATTCTTCAAGGGGAGACAAGGAGACTTAGAGAAAACAAGAGAAAAGTGGAGCAACCAGAAACTGGAAGAAAGAAAATTTTATTCCAGATATATTCAAAACTGAGTTCCCCTTCCTAAGTTTCCTTTTGTTTTCCCAACTCTGCCCCTCGTCTTTCTAGAATGCGGAGACTTGTTGATAGGGAAAAACACTTAAGTATCCCAGCCCATATACCTGCAGAGCTCTGTCCTTTGACTTTGTTGAAGGAACTTTTGATGACTACAATGAGTATTTTCACATTGCCGCCCTCATTGAAGGTGACATTTGAGTGCCTCAGAGCACTGGTGGGAAGTGTTCATTGACACAGCCTACATGAACGCTCCCAAGCGGGTACTTCCTCGGGAAACCCTTCCTTGGCCCTCATCCCTCACCTCACCCAAGACCAAGATGGATCATGCTATTACTCTCAAATAGTCTATATATCATAATTATGTTTTATATATATGGCACCCTAGACTTTTTATTTGCAGTGTTTACCACAAATGTAATTAATTATTTGTATATATTTTGTTTGATGTTTTGCTTCTCTGCAAGCCTGTAAACTCCATGGAAGCAGGGGTTATGTTTATCTTGTTCACCACTTTATCTCCAGAACTAGCATGATGATACACATAGTAGGTGCCCAACAAATATTTGTGGCTGTAAATTTTATAACTGTCTACCAGCCTTGAAGAACAGTTTGCTTTGAAGGGAGTGATTTTTCCTATATAATTAGGTCATGGACACTTACTATTGTTTCTCACTCACTACCCAATGTTATGGGCTCTGAGGCTTTGCTTTTGTGGCTAATCTCACTGGTCATCTGACCAAATCTTGCTATGAGGCCCAAGGGGACCTGCCAAAAAAGAGTAAACGGGATCACCCCAAAACCACCCCCACTCCAAAACATAAAGTCAAGGCACAGGCGCTATTGGGTCAATAACATCATACTTGTATGAAGAAGTTTCACAACATCAGATACAGTTTTGTTTCTCCTCTTAATGAAGGAAACTGAAGAGTCAGGAGGAGTGACCATTATCAGATTATCTGTGGTATTGCCTCCATTCTCACTACAATAAAGCCAGATTCTGTTAAATGTTATACTCCCAAATCCATTTGGCCAGGAGTTTGTATCAACAAACCACAATATGTAAGCCCAAATAAATTGCTGCCACCATAAAGAGTAAAATATCTACATAATTCTCAACATTGCCAAAGGTTGTCATGAATATCTTGGACATTCACGCACATTAACTTGGACTGCAGTATAGGAAAAAAGTGGAAAAAAATAAAAGCTATGGCTGTTCTCATTCATATTCCTGGAAACTGGGAGTCTGTGTTCATCCTAGGAAAAGAGCCAGGTCGCATGTGGGGGATGAAAAGGAAAACAGTACATTTTTTCTCATTTTTTTCACTTTCTCAGAGTTTCTCACTGCCTTTTTCACCCACAGTTATTAAATATTTAGATGAAGAAAAGTAAAGACACCCCTGGTAGCAGTAATCACCCACAAAGTCAACCACTTCAACATGTATGGAAGCACCTGGAATAATAGCAGGCACACAAAGATGTTCAAAAATACTTGTTTTTGAAAAAAAATTCACAGACAGATTTATGGTTTTCCATATTTTAAATTTTCAAGAATTTTTCCCTCCACAAAGCTTCCAGAGCAGAGGTCAGCAATAATTCCATTTAAATGAAGACCTGCAAGAGCACCTCAAAGCAGGTACAGAGGCCTGAGGAAACAGGTCACTCTCTGACCAGCTACTTCGGAAGTACCATATGGCCCAAACCAGCACAGAGTTGAACTCAAATGTGAGATCTGTACAAACTGACATGTTCACATTAGCGAAAAAATGTGTTTTTACTATGCCACACAGGTCCACATTAGAGGCAGCAAGCGCCAGCTTCTTCAGGTGGTTGGTTAACTGTCAGACCAGGCACCTGAGATGGTACCTTAGGAGGGAAACGCCTGCCGCGTCCCTTATCTCCCAATCGGGGAGTGAATTAATCACTACTCAGAGCTGCAGATGGAAGACAACGTCCCTTGCAGTCAGAAAAGACAGCTGATATCTACTACGTAACAACAGAAACAACTAAAATTAATGAAGAACTAAAAGTTATATTTGGATTACTTCATTTCATCCTCACAAAATGCCTAGGAGTTACCATTATTGTCCCACCTGAAGATGAGGACACTGAAGGGGAAAGATGTCAAGTAAGTCATGCATTTACACAGAAAGAAAAGTAGAGCTTAGATTCGAACTTGGGCAGTCTGAACTGGGAATCCACCATCTTAACAACAATGCAAAGTCTGAGTATGTCATTTTAATAAAACAAAAACTCTGAAACATGAAACATGAACTGTTTCAACTTACTTAGACATGAACACAAAGGTAATTAAGATAATAATTGTAATACTTTTTCCTCAATATTGTTTTTCCATAGGATCCCTAAGAGTTAAGTAGGATATATTATCATTTGAATTTTATAGAATAGTGACACTAACTTAAAATGGTTATCTTAATTACCTAAGATCAGGAGTAAACTGATACCAGAACTTGAGTTTTCTCTGTCCAGCAGCAGCCACGACATTAGACGCTGGGGGGAACTTCTGGGCTTGGGGTTATATATCTGGCCTAGGCTTGATTTCACTGGCTCATGGGTTAACATTGACTTGTTTATCTCCACGAAGTCATGAGGCCTATCTTCTCCACTTTTGGCTACTGCGGATATCCAAAAGTGTGAAAGTTGGAAAACGAGTGAAAACTATGAATAACGGTTAACTAACTTCTAACGCACAATGATAAAAAGTAGTAGCAATGAATCCCACAGCTCAAATACAGAGCAGATTGCTGCTGGAGTGACTCCCAAATATCCCAGCAGGGCCTCCATTCCTCCTCTTCTCTTTCTCCTTTCACTCCCAGCCCTCCCACGCTCACCCACCCCACACACACCCTCTGTCGCATCTCTTTCCCTGTGGTTTGTCTCTCTCTCTTTCTCTCTTCTATTTTGCTTTTCTTCTTTTCCCCAGTTCTCTCTCCTTCTTTCCAAATCACCTGAGAGCCAAGGAATCTTGGAATTCTAACTTATAGAGGACTTCAGAGGTCATATAGACCAACATCCCATGTTGTACATGAGAAAACAACAGTCCCCAGAAGTGATTTGCACAGGAACATGCTGTTATTTTGAGGAGAACACATGGCCTGAGTCCAGCGTCCTCTCCATGCTGTCACACTTGCAGCTGTGTCCTGGAATTGAAGAGCATCTGAAAACCTTTGTGCTTTCCATTATCATGATTACAAGTAACTAAGAAAAAATCCACATAAATTTAAGAAGCTTTCATTACTTTCAGGTAGTCCTTAATTTTTTTAATGAATTCTCTTCACTTGAAAATAGTCTTTCAAGTTCATAGAACAAGCTAAGATTACAAGACAATTTAAAGGTCACTCCTTACAAACCATATACATTCACAAAACAATTAGAAATGTCTAAAAGTTCTTATGTTTAAGTTCTTAATGTTTAAATGTTCTTAAACTTTTTTTTTCCATCATAGATTCCATGGATGAGCTGATGAATAACCTTGTCCATTCTCCTCAGGAAAAACACGAAAACAATGAACATTTTGCATAATGTTTTGGGAATTTATGAATATCCTGGTGCCCATCTCTGGGCCCACTAAAAGTTAAGAACAGAACCCCTGTCTTAAGGAAAAAATGTGGTGTGTTTCTGGATTACTGGTTTTCAAAGTGGGGTGCGTACATGCTAGGGGTGCACATAATGATCCATGAAGCATTGAGGAAAAAGATAATGAAACTCCTGTTACTGCTTTTTAAATTTCATCCTTCTAAAGTCTTTACATTTTTTATATTTTTAACATACACAAGATGTTAGAATAGCAACACATGTATAAAACTTGTAAATAAGTAAAAATAAACATATGTGGCTGAGTCCTCTGGTTTTTTTTTTTTTTTCCATTCAGGGATAGGCCGGCAGTTGGAGAGCACCAGACAATCTTGGAGAGACCTTGCACTTCTCACAAGGACCCTGCCCGCCAGAGGCCTCTTCTCACCTGGTCCTTCGTCTTTCCTTCTCGCTCGCGAATGTGGTTAGCAACAATCCTTTCCGTTTCCTCGCAGAGTCTGGGGAAGTTTGCCAGCTGTCAAGAAAAATAGGTCTGAGTGTTAATACTCAAAGAGTTATACTACAAAGAAAGGAGCAGAGATAAACCATTTCACCTTACAGAAAAATGCATTACAATTCTGGAAGCAAAAGTGAAATATCAGGAAATCCTAAAAAAGAATGGCAGTGACAGAGGAGGTGCCACAAATTATAATCAGAAGTAAATTTGATATCTGAGACGAAACACTTCAAAACCAGCAGAGAAATTTCCTACAACGAAAAAAGAAACCCAGATACCATCTAGCACTTGCTCTACAGAGTTGGCACTGAATGAAGTTCAAAGATGAAGAAAACGGAAATGAGGATGAAAAAGAGGATAATGACTAACATTTCTAGAGTGGTTACCAGGTGCCAGGAGTGTGCTAAGCACCTCATGCATTATCTCACTCAAAATTCTCAAGGACCAGGGCTGGCCAAGTGGTTAAGTTCGCGCGCTCCGCTGCAGGCGGCCCAGTGTTTCGTTGGATCGAATCCTGGGCGCGGACATGGCACTGCTCATCAAACCACGCTGAGGCAGCGTCCCACATGCCACAACTAGAAGGACCCACAATGAAGAATATATACAACTTGTACCAGGGGGCTTGGGGAGAAAAAGGAAAAAATAAAATCTTAAAAAAAAAAAAATTCTCAAGGACCATAAGAAATAGATCATATTATTAGCCCGATTTTATAAAGAAGGAAAGTGAAGTACAGAGGGATTAAGCAACTTGCCCAAGATAAAGAGTTCAAGATTCCAATCCAAGCCCTTGGACTCTAGAGCTGATGGTTTTGTCCATTACTCTTTGAGGATGATTTATCCCATAAACCATAGAGAGAAATTTCTTTTAAATTTTCCCTTAACAGATATATGTGTGTGTGTGCATATTTTGTGGCAAAACTGTAGAAATAATGCATGTCAATGCCTTATCCCATCTAAATTATGCAGATAATTGTCCAAAACTTAGTTCGTAAAAGTGAGTGAATTCATTACAGTTGTTTTCAACATAAGAAAGAAAAAGAACGGGATGCTATGATAATGTTTAAGGAGCCCTAATCTAGAAGGAGAACTCAGTCTGGTAAAGGTGTGTGGGAGTGGACGTGGGGAAGACGAGGCCCGCCAGGCGCAGGAACATGTAAGGCACCGGGGCACAGGGACAGCGAGTGGGGAAAGAAGTAAAGGAAGGCCAGCGCAGTGAGGAGGACGGTCTCGAGGCAAAGCTAGAAAGGTAAACAGGAGCAGGTCAGGGGCATCCCCGCAGACCTGTTGGGAATTTGGGCTACTGAAGCAATTCAGATGAGAAATGCCGGTGACTTGGACTGGAATGGCAGGAGTAGAAATGGAGAAAAGTAGGCAAATTCATGGCTCATGATAGGCGTAATGTTAGTTCCAATTATTATAAAAAGCACTTGCAAATTCATAAGAATAACACTAATATCTCATATAAAAGCAAGCAAAAAAAGGTAACATGATTTAAAAAGAAACTTCACAACATGATTTAAAAAGAAAAATATTAAACTTCACAAGTGACCAAAGTAATGCAAGAAAGATAACAACTATGATGTTGACAAGTTCTTATAATCACTTTTATAAGATTAGTGCAGGTGAAGGTATTCTGAGACTAGCACAGTTTAAACCCACTGAAGGGATATCAATGATAACCAGCTTTCAGGAAAACCATTTGGCAACACCTACCAAAAATCCTAAAAACATATATAAATATATATTGCAACAATAAGACAGACAAATAAACAAAACTCTATAAACCACATAAGTATCCAACGATGTTAAACAAATTAAGGTAAATCCACTAATGGGACATAATTAGCCATTCCAAATAATATCTAATTTTTTAATAATATCTAATAACATGGTAAAGATATTAAGGGATGAAACTTAGGCACACTAAGGGAAGAAAATCAGGCTACTAAATATATAATGCAATTATACATGAGCACACACACACATACATAGTAACAAGCCTTCAAGGATACAGCCCCAGACCATACAAATACCAAAGTTCTTGAGTAATATTATAGCAAATAATACTTCCCCAAATTTGTAAGCACTTAGAACTAGGCCTCCCTGAGACGTGGCTGCTCCATAGTCAGCTGGGGTCACTGTGTACACCAATTTTATATCATGCATGGTGCACATGAGTGTCTCAGCAAGATAAAGTGCATTACTTCATGAAACCACCACGATCACAAATCATATATGAATGTTAAATCTCCCAATGCTACAAGTCTACTGTCTGTGTGCAGACAAAGAGCTACACAAACACTACAAAATGTTAATAGTGATAACCTCTTTGAATGATGGGCTTATGCATAGTCTGAATTTTTTTTCTATATACTTCTCTGTATTTTCCAAACTTTTCTACAGCAGACATAGAGTGCTTTTATAACAATATTATAAAAATATAGAAACCCAGCTGCCTTGGTCACCTCAAAAATCACAGTGCAGGGGGCCGGCCCCATGGTATAGTGGTTAAGTCTGGCACACTCTGCTTCAGCAGCCCAGGTTTGCAGGTTCAGAACCCAGGTGCAGACATATACCACTCACTCATCAAGCCATGCTGTGGTGGCAACCCACATACAAAATAGAGGAAGACTGGCACAGATGTTAGCTCAGGACTACTCTTCCTTAAGCAAAAAAAGAGAATGATTAGCAACAGATGTTAACTCAGAGTGAGTCTTCCTCACAAAAAAAAAAAAAAAAATCACAGTGCAGTGTCTCTTCATGGCGTCACCAAACCAGCTCCCCCTTACTGGGGAAGCTGAATGCTGAGATGACTCCTAGCCGAAAGCTGAGATGTATGCTCTTTTGGGGAGTTATTTCATTGATAACTGGAAAACACAAACAGAGCTTCCATTTCAAGTCTTGGAAACATCCTCCACGGAAAGTTCGATCATCCTGGAAGTGCTTTGTACACTCTGCGAATACCGCAAGTCATTTTTTGTGGGGCCTAGAAAAGATTTCTAAGTATGGAATGGATAGCTGATAGATACCGGTCCTTCTTTTCGACTTCTGCAAACCCGGGTGGTATAGCTGGGACCCACAACTACCCTGCCCTAGGCCAGCAGAGCATTATGGCTTCCCCTCTGCACTCAGAGAGCATCGCAAACTCTCAGGGGATGCTTGCTCCTGACAACAGCCACACTAATACAAAATCACACTCCTGCAGAGAAGTGACCACACAAGCAACAGTGGTCAACTGAAGAGGAGAGAAACGCCTTTAGCAGCATTTAGAAAGTGGATTACAGCAAAAGGTTATTTTTAAAACACCAAAGAGTGGCAATATAAATATTTATGCAGAAACTAAATACTTGATAGCTGAAGAACCCCAGGCTAGCACACGGCCATCATTAAGTCAAGGAAAGGTCAAAATGACAAGAGTATCCCATGAAGTAGAAACATCTGAGAACCCTCCAATCTCATAGCCTTTGCAGGAGGTTTGGTTTTGTATGTGTGTCTCCTGATCTTTCCAAGCTTACTACTGATGAGCTTAATTTCACCAGGAAGGAACCTGCCAGAGACATAACTTTATGCCTACAGTTGAGACAACCGGAAGTAAATGAGCCTAAATTCTAAGTCGATCAAAAGGGAAAGAGAACATTCTAGAAGAACTGCCCTCATGGCGGCAGAGGAGGAGAAACACTGAAAGAGACATTAAGCAGTACAAGACCTAGACATCCCTGAAAGGCAGTAACAAAGCTGGCACAGCTTCTAGCTGGTTGATCTTGAAAGGCTTGCAGGAGCATAAAAATGGCTGTGGGAGTGTAAAAATCAAAATGTTCATTGTAATTGCTGGTCTTCCCAATTCTTCTCATAATACATACAGGAAGAATGTGAAAAAATGTCCTACTGACATTCAAAATGCTTTCTGATTAGGCTTTCTGCCTCTCATTTCATCAGCTCATTCAGCGGGAGTCCTTGCTTAGTTTGCATGACTCTTTAACTTACTTTTAAAGGATACTTAACTCTGATTGCTCAGTTCAATCCCTTGGCGCTCTTCTACATCTCTTACTTAAGGTGCAATCAGTTTCCTCAATGACTTAAATCATTATAATTTTTAAGCTCTTTTGCTCTGGATGCTGACTTAAAAGAGCACAGTTGCAAGAATGTGTTTCGTTTGTCAGTCATCAAATTTCTCATCATGTATGCCAAAATAATATTGATCTAGAAGACACTATCTTTTGACCTTTATTCCCCTATTAATTATTTAAATATTCTGTAATTTGATTTGTATAGGATCAAGGAATTAAGGCTTTGCTATTGGTGATAATAATATTACATTCCTAAATTTATTTCACATCAGTCATTCATTTAACAAACATTCACTGGGCACCTGCTATAGGCCAGCTGTATACCAGTTTATGTTGAAGCACCTGATACTAAAAACCTGACAGTCTTGAGTGGCAAGTTGACTATACAGCTACATTGTCACACAAGAGATAAATATCTAAAACAGCAAGAAAAAAACACAGGGAAATAAATGGCTAAATCTGCTCTAAGAAGGCCTCAGAGAATCTGGTGCCTAAAGAGCGACAGTGAAGCTTCCAGACAAAGCAGAACATCTATTAAATGGTAAATTACCTCTAAATAGTTTATTCTTCAAATTACATAGAATATTCTTAAATAAAAAGGAAGATTTGATGGAAAAACAATATAATAATATAACTTTAGGAATCAAAACTTTAAAAATATAATTCTAAGAGAAAACTTTAACTATATATGTTCTGAGAGAAAACAGCAATAATGCCTAAAAAATACAAAAACATGTTTTAATAAAATCCAGTACTTTAAGTGTTATTTAGGGTAAGTTTAATTATTTTGGTGGGATCTCAATATAAAAATTTAATTTTAACCATGGACTACATTTTTCCTTAGAGGAAAAAAAAATCACTTGAAAGACATTTCTATCCAATAAAACAAAAATTGCACACCTATAAAATGTATTAACTATTGATAAATCAGATCACGAGAGCCATGCTATT